TTCAACTCAAATTTCCGGCTGTCAAGTTCATTTTGAGTCATGATTCTGCCATATAGCATATTGGGCCATCCCATTCCTCCTCTCCGGAGTATCTACATATTTAAGTGTCCCTTCTGGGTTTTTATCTCATTCACTAGTTCCAACATAAGGAGATAACCATTTTCCCATACCAGGGCCCAGAGTTTCTCTCAGGTTGTCCATACTTCCCAAAAAGGTGAAAGAGCACTGATTTAATTCTTCATCAGTATTTTGAACAGAAAATCCTAATAAGGACAGAGTTCTGAAAGATCTCCAATAGTACCTGCCTTTCCAGTCAGCATTGATCCACCAGAACTTTTGAGTGTCATTATTGACTGTTAGATATTAGTTTCTTTACTTGTGATTTGATGTCTCCTAAAATTGGAAGGGAAAAATGCACTCCACCTACTTGAGTATTCTAGTAATTGAGATATTTAATTTCTAATGGCTAAGTATCAATCAGTAGTGTCTCCTTATAGCTGTTCCTCTTTCTCCGTGTTTCCATTTCTAAGATCTCAAGTCTGTGATGAGACTGAGATAGTTAACAGTTTTAGTTTGCTTGGTTCCACAGTCAACACCCTTGGTAGCAGCAGCCAGAAAATCAAGAGATGAATTGCACTGTGAAAGTCAGCTGTGAGGGACCTCTCAAGAATACTGAAGAGCAACAATGTCAGGCTGGAGACTAAGGTGCTATGCATCGGAGAGTTGGACAGTGAATAAGGATGATAGAAGGAGAATTGATGCCTTTGAGCTGTGGTGCTGGAGAAAAGTGTTGAATATACCATGGACTGCTAGGAGAACAAACAGGTTTGTCCTGGAAATGGTGAAGCCAGAATGTTTCTTGTAGTCAAGGATTCTGAAGCTTCGTCTGGCATACTTTGGGCATGTTGCAAGGAGGGACTGGTCATTGGAGAAGGACATCATGTTTGGGAGAGTGGAAGGATGGCTCAGGAGAGGAAGACCCTCAATGAGATGGATCGATTCTGTGACTGGAGCGGTGGGAATGAGTGTGTTTGAGACGATGAGGTTGGCACAGGATAGAATGGCATTTAGAGCTCTTGTACATAGGGTCGCTATGAGTCGCAAGTGACTCGATGACACATAACAACAACAATGGCTAAGTATGTTCATTCGTAAGACTCATAATTTTGTGTCTTAGATGTTTCAGGATCCTTTTAGACACCATACACAGCATTTTATTTAGTTTGTGAATGGAACTGTATAGATGCTTCAGAAATCTCTGAGGTTGAGGACAGAAACATCAAAGAAAATTCATAATAGTTTGCTATTGCTTCTCTTCATGACTATTGTTACTACTATGGTGCTGTTCAGTTGGACCCAACTCAGAGCATACTAACCAGTGGGTTTTCAAGAAAACCCACAGGTTTTCACAGGAGGAGATTCATGGCTATAGAGAAGTATAGTGTTCCCTTTCAATTCAAGCCTACAAAACTCTATCATGATTATTTGTCTTTGCAAGGCTTCCCAATATGATCTCTCTATATAAAGGGAGTCCCAGCAGAAGGAAATCCACGGCATGAAAACTTGGATGTGATAAATTAGACATTCATTACTTCATTTAAAAAATTATTCACTTTAAAAACCAGACAAAATATTTACTGTATGATTTATGTAAAAGGGGTGGTGGTGGAAATGACATAGCTAGCAATCTCTACTGATGGAAAACAGACCAAGGCCAGGGTGGGATTGACTGCACAAGGGAGCACAGGGGATGACGTCAGCGTTCTGTATCTAGGTTATGATGGTGGCTTCAAAGGTGTGTTTATGTGTTAAAACCAAGGTGTACATTTAAAATGTACTGAAGATTATCCAAAAACAACTGGAACAGCACATCAGCAGAGAACTGCCAGAAGTCCAGCCTGGGTTTAGAAGGGGTCGTGGAACTAGGGATATTATAGCTAATGTTAGATGGATCTTAGCTGAAAGCCAGAAATACCAGAGGAATGTATATCTGTGTTTCATTGACTATGCAAAGGCGTTTGACTGTGTGGATCATAACAGACTGTTTGAATCTGAGGAGAATGGGAATCCCAGAACACTTGATTGTGATAATGAGAAACCTATACTTGGACCAGGAGGCTGTCATCAGAACAGAGCAAGGGAACACTGCATGGTTCAAAATTAGAAAGGGCGTATGCCGGGGATGTGTCCTGTCTCCAAACCTTTTCAACCTGTATGCAGAACAGATTATCCGGGAGGCTGGGCTCTATGAGGAGAAGTGTGGGGTCAAGATCGGTGGAAGATCCTGTCAACAATCTGCGTTACGTAGATGACCCTGCTTGCTGAAACAGAGGAGGACCTGAAGCGCTTGCTACAGAAGGTCAAGGACTGCAGCCTCCAATATGGATTGAGGCTCAATGTCAAGAAGACAAAGATTCTCATCACTGGACCATTTGGCAGCACCAGGATGCATGGTGAAGCGATTGAGATTGTTCACCAGTTTAGTTTGCTTGGCTCCACAGTCAACACTTTTGGCACTAGAAGTCAGGAAATTAAAAGATGTATTGTGATGGGAAAGTCTGCTGTTAGAGACCTCTCCAAAGTACTGAAGAGTAATGGTGTCTCTCTGGAGACTAAGGAGCGTCTGATACAGGCCATGGTCTTTGCTATCACTTGTTATGCATCAGAGAGTTGGACAATGAGTAAGGAGGATAGAAGGAGAATTGATGCCTTTGAGCTATGGTGCAGGAAAAGAGTATTGAGGGTACCATGCACTGCTAGGAAAACAAACAGATTCATCCTGGAAAGGGTTAAACCGGGTGGCTTCTTGGAGGCAAGGATTCTGAGGCTCCGTCTAACATACTTCGGGCATGTTGTAAGGAGAGTCAGGTCCTTGGAGAGGGACATTATGCTTGGGAGGGTGGAGGGACAGCGTCGGAGGGGAAGGTCCTCTTTGAGGTGGGTTGATTCAGTGACTGGGGCCATCGGGATGGGAGAGACAGTGTGATTGGCACAGGACAGAGCGGAGTTTAGGACTGTTGTACATAGGGTCGCTCTGAGTCGCAAGTGACTCGACGGCACATAACAACAACAGTTTCTTGTGCATAAACTACACCTCAGTGAAGTTTTTGAGGAAAAGGCCTTAACCTATAATTGATTCAAGTAGGATTTTATTGAGCATTATTTATTGAGTGTTAAAATAAGAATTAAAATGTGGATTGATTAGACAAATTAAAAAGTCTACCTGTGAATTTCTTCAAGGAGGGATGTATGGAAAATCTGGTCTACCAAAAAAATTTTTAGTAAGTGAAGAGTTGATATTGATGCCTTTTAGTTCATATAGCATTTGTATAAGGATAATGCTTTATTGTGGACTTTACCAAAGTAAAACAGATTTTTTAAATAACTAGTTGGAATTATCTAAAATTGAGAAGTAATGATGCCTGTTTGAGGACAAAGGTGTGTCTGATTCAGGCCATGGTCTTTCTGATCATTTGTTGTGTGCCTGAGAGCTGAACCATGGATAAGCAAGATAGGAAAAGAATTGATGTTTTTGAGCTGTAGCGCTGGAGAAAAGCACTGAACATCCCAGGGATGGCCAAGAGAACAAACAGGTGTGTCTTGGAGAGGGTGCAGCCAGGGTACTCTTTGGAGGCAAGAATGATGAGGTTTCACCTCACATCCTTTGGTCATGTTGCTAGGAGGTGATATTGCTTGGAGAGGGACATGATGTTGGGAAGGGTGGAGGGTCGGCAAAGGAGAGGAATACCCTCAACCAGGTGGATTGACATGGTGACTGCTGCAAAGGGCTCTTGTGTGTCAGGAAGTGTGAGGATGGTGCAGGATAGAACTGGTTCAGATGTTTTGTTCATAGGGTCGCTATGAGTCATATGCGACAGCAGGCACCTAACAGCAAAGTGGATCTTAAGTGTTCATTTAGGATAGTTCCCTGGTCTGGTCTTTCCAAAGCAAGTAAATTATAATACTTCATTTGAAGCTAAATTGTATATCACATATAATATCAGCATTTTCTATTTGCTGAAGTAAAACTTTATTGGACATTGTTTGCCTATACACTATGTTACATTTAAAAATGGAATAATTATTAAGAATATGCTATGTTCAGATACTGGCTAGTAGGGAAATCTGATGTGATAATGGAAGCATAAATTTTAAGATCTGGTTTTAAATGCTGTATCCTATCCATATTCTCTGGAATTTTCGAGATTCCCCCAATCCACGCAATAAGGTGATTTCATTTGTTTCTTCATATAAAAAGTGAATAGGGAATAAGGAGCTGTGGTGCTACAGTCCATAGTGTGTTGCACTGCTGACCAAAAAGAATAGAGAAACTCTGAAAATCCTGAAAACAATAATACCGAATCTATTTAGTGCCACTTTGTCATGTATTTATGGGGAACAGAAGAGTAGCATAGAAGAGACTTCTGCAATGTTGTGAAAACCTTTGCTGTTGGCAAACCCCTTTAACTGAAAAACTACTCTTTTTTTAAAAAAAAATTTTATTTTATATGGGTTTACTTACAAAGCTTGTATACATTGTGTTCCATGCTATTCTTCATTCACATTGTGTTCATACAATCATTCTCCATTTATTTTATGAAATTAATCACCATTGGACTATGCCCACCTGTCTTTTTGCATCTCTGCTAGATCTTTCCCATTTCCTTTACGCCCTTCCTTCACCCACCAAATTGTGCAACCCTGTGATTTCATTCCTACCCATCCTCATTCCTCTGCTCCCACCTTTTGGGTTTTGGGTTTGGGGTTGTTTTTTGTTTTTTTTTTTTTTGTATGCTTACATGTTAGTAAAATTATAAGCACGTTATACCAGCAATGCAATGCAGGAGCCTTTGAGTTTATTTAGTTGCTATTTTGACCCACTTACATGGAGTCTGTGAATGCATGGTTAGAAGGAGGTTGCTTATAATGGAGGGAGATGGTAGGGGATTGCTTATGTGAACTGACCAAACAAGGTCGGTTCCTTGCCAGCAGCCTGTGGCTTAAACAATTTCATCCTCATCACAGAAGGACTCAACTGCAGCTCTTGGTTGTGGCTCAGGTTGAGGCTGAGGCTTAGGCTCAGGCTCAGGCTCAGGCTCGGGCTCAGGCTTGGACTCAGGCTCGGACTCAGGCTCAGACTCAGGCTCGGACTCAGGCTCAGGCTCAGGCTCGGGCTCAGGCTCAGGCTCTAGCTCCTGCACTGTTTCCAGCTCCTGCACTGGCTCCAGCTCCTGCACTGGCTCCAGCTGGGGTGCAAGCTCAGACCCTGAGCCACGCCTCAGGGCAGTCTGCACCTTATATTCAGGCTGCCCTAAGCCAAGCCTCAGGGCAGCCTGCAGCTGGCATTTAGGCTCCAGGTCCTGCTCCAGCATAGCAACACGGTTCGTCTCAAAGATGTAAGGTCTCCGAATTGTTTCTCTCTGGATGGGGCGTTCAGAGAACATTGCTGAACGCTCTCTACTTCGGGTTGCTTTGGTCATTGGCCTGCAGGAGGAAAACCCAGGAAAAATGCTTACTGTTAAGTTGTTTCATATGGAGGCATGTACTCTGTAGCTTCCATGTCCAGAGGTCCCAGACTGTTCAGGACGTCTGTGATGTCACATATTCTGACCCACTCACAGAGTATGTGCCTGTCTCAATTTTTGGAGACAGAAAGATTAGGTTCCCATCAGTACAATAACAGTTCAGTAGCAACAGAGCAGTGTTGAAAGGGTGGGAAAACCAATATCAAGATAAAGATATCAGATCTGATGAAGTGTTGAGGGTGACAGCCATGCATCTCTGTACCCCACACTCTATCTACCACAACACTTGGTAGATGGTAAATGGAGGTGGTGGTTAGACACACTTGAGTCAGTTCCAGCTCATAGCAACTATATATACAACAAAATGAAACACTACTTCATCCTGCACCAGTCTTCACAATTGTGACAAGTAAATAACTGGGGAAACAGGAAAGGAGGGAAAGAGAAACAAAACACATGAATAATTGTGATATACATTGTGGTTATGTGCCAGTGAGTCAGAACTGACTCATAGCTCACCTTCTAGCAAGTTTTCAAAAGCTGTAAAGCACACAGGAGGAGATTGCCCATCTTTCTCCAGTGGAGCATCTGGTGGATTCAAACTGCATGCCCTTGGGTTGGAAGCATAGCTCCCTACCTACTAAGTCACCAAACCTCCCTGTAATATATACTGTTGTTTATTATGTACCGTAGAGTCAGAACTGATCCTCCAGTGGGATTTCAGAGACAGTTAATCACATGGGAGGAAATTGCCCATCCTCCTCCCACAGAACCACTGGTGGATTTGAACTGTGTGCCTTTGGGATTCCAGAGCAGCTTATTTTTTTTAATTTTTTATTTTATACTGGTTTGTTTACAAAGTTCGTATACATTGTTTTTCACACAGGATCTTTTCCATTTCCTTTACCCACCCCTGCTCTACCAATCAAGCTGTGCAACACTGATTATAACTCCCCCCGCCCATCCTCACCCCTCTGCTCCTACCCCCTCCCTCATACCCATTTTACTAGCTATCTTTCTATTTCTACAATAATGGTCTTATACAGTATTTATCCTTATGGGACCGAGTTCAATTAGTATAATGCTCTCCAGTCCCTCTCAAGTAAGGTAGTAATTTACAAAATCATTGCTCCTGTGTGCTGCGTAGTATTCCATTGTGTGAATATAGCACAATTTCTCAATCCATTCAGTTGTAGTTGGACATCTGAGCTGTTTCCATGTTGTTATGATGGTGAATAATGCTACTATGAACACTGATGAACAAGTCTCCATTTGTGCCTCAGTTCTCATTTTCTCGGGGTATACTCCAAGCAGTGGAATAGCTGGGTCATATGGAATGTCTATGTTCAGCTTTTTGAGGAAATGCCAAACTTCCTTTGAGAGTGGTTGTACCATTTTACAATCCCACCACACCCTCTCCAACATTCGTTACTTGCTGTCCTGTTAAACTTTGCCTGCAGTGCAGCTTCTTACCACTAGGGCACCAGAGACATGAAACAGCATGGTGGTTCAGAGCTTGGTGGAGTCAAGGGGCAGTGAAAAAGAGAAAGACCCTCAACCAGATGGATTAACACTATGGCTACAACAGTGGGATCAAACACAGCAATGTTTGTAAGAATAACACAGGACAAAACGGCCACTTTGAGCTGAAACTGACTAGACATCACCTAAAAACAACAGCGAAGTAGAGAAAGGAGTGCTCAGAGGTTGCCTCACCCACACATCTCACTCTCACTGACTTGCCTCTCACCCTTTTAAAAAACTGGTGTTTGGAGTTTTTTGGTTTTGTTTTGTTGTCTTTTTTTTTTTTCTGTGAAGATGTCGACAATTAGGACTTTTACCATATTAACTATTGGCTTAAGGAAAAGCACAACTCTTCATCCCAGCCTCTCATCAACTTCACTTCATTTCCTGAGAGGAAGAATGCTGTTGTAGAGATATACAACTGATTTTTGTATGTTGAGCTTGTATCCTGCCAATTTGCTGAATTGGTCAACTATGTCCATTAGTTTTCTTGCTGAATCTTTAGGGTTTTATAAGTATACTATCATATCATTTACATAGAGAGGTAATTTTACCTCGTCTTTGCCAATTTGGATACCTCTTATTTCCTTCTCATGCCTTATTATTATCACTAAGACTTCCAATACCATATTGAATAGGAGAGGTGAGAGTGGGCATCCTTGCCTAGTTCCTGTTTTCAAAGGGAATACCTTTAATCTCTCTCCATTTAAAACAATGTTGGCTCTCAGGTTTGCATATATACTTTTTACTATGTTGAAAAAATTCTCCTCTAATCCTATTTTGTTGAGTGTTTTAATCAGGAAAGGGTATTGGATTTTGTCAAAGGCCTTTTCTGCATCAATTGATAGGATCATGTGGTTCTGGTTCTTTGAAGATATGATGAATTACACTGATTGTTTTTCTTATGTTGAACCATCCTTGCATACCTGTTATGAATCCCACTTGGTCATGGTCAATTACTTTTTATGTATCATTGGATTCTATTGCCCAGGATATTATTCAGGATTTTTGTATCTATGTTCATAAGAGATATTGGCCTATGGTTTTCTATTTTGGTGGTTTCCTTTCCTGCCTTTGGTTTGCTTCATAGAATAAGTCTGTGAGAATAGCATTTTTTTCTATTTTCTGAAATAGTTTATGTCAAATTGGTGACAGTTCTTCTCTGAATGTTTGATAAAATTCACTTGTAAAACCTCCTGGTCCAGGGCTTTTTTTTGGCTAGGAAGACTCGATAAAGACACTTCACCAAAGAAGACATTCAGACGGCCAACAAGCACATGAAGAAATGTTCAAAATCCCTAACCCTAAGAAAGTTGCAAATCAAAACAACTATGAGATATCATCGCACCCCTGTCAGAATAGCAAAATTTAACAGAACAGCAAACATCAAATCTTGACGAGTTTGTGGAGAAACTGGAACCCTTATTCACTGTTGGTGGGAGTGTCAAATGGTGCAACCACTGTAGAAGGCAGTGTGGCACTTTCTCAAAAAGTTGGAACTAGAAATACCATTTGACCCAGCAATTCCACTACTGGGAATATACCCTAAAGAAACCAGAACTGCCACTCAAGCAGATATATGCACACCCATGTTTATCGTGACTTTGTTCACAATATCAAAGAGTTGGAAGCAACCTAAATGCCCATCAACAAACAAATGGATAGAGAAGCTGTGGTACATTCACATAATGGAATACTATGCTTCATTAAAACAAGGAACTCGTGAAATATTCTACAAAGTGGGTGACCCTGGAGGACATTATGCTGAGTGAAATATCTCAGTCACAAAAGGACAAATACTGCATAGTGCCACTGTTATAATATGGGACTGACATCGGAGTTGAGGGAAGACTGAGAAAGAGGGGATAAATTATGTGTACTGCATTGAAACTGTTGAGGGGGAGAAATGTTTAAAGGGATATCTGATTAGGTATTATTGTCATGACAGGAGTACAGAAGGAAGGCTGCATAGTGGAGTGGACTTGTGAGGAGGGATTGTATAACAATGAAGAATTTTTCTTTTACTTTTCAAAGAGAAGTGGGAACTGGGGGGAGGGGTGGGCAGGGAGAAAACTGCAATAATGAATGAATGGAAATCTAAAGTCTCTGTAAACTTTCATTAAAATTAATAATAATAAAAAGAATGCTGTTGTATGGATTGGTTCAGAGACAGTTCTATTTAAGTCAAAGTAGTAATGCTTTCAGAATACTGCACAAAAAGGTTCAATATCAGCACCCCTCCTGGTCTGTATAATGTCCTTATGACAAGAATTAATCCAACGATTCTTATTCCTAATTTATTTTAAGATGAAATTATGTCTACTCATCATTAGTTGACAGGGAGCTCTAATGGACTAGTCAACCCAAAGGTGCACAGTTTGAATCTACCAGCTATTCTGTGAGAGAAGCACAGGCAATCTACTTCAGTTCAATTTACTGTCTCTATAACCCGCTGAAAGGTCATCTGGGGGTTGGTTCCAACTCATTGGTACCCAACAATATTATTAGTTGAAAGTTACTCTGATGAGCCCAAGATCTAATGTTGTTGCTGTTATATTGTTATGTGCCATTGAGTCACCTGAGACCCATAGCAACCCTATGTACACCTGCTTTGAAGTCTACCCTGTCCTTCTAACACACCAACCCCCATTGCCCCAGTTACTCAATCCATCTCATCTGGGATCTTCCTCTCCTGCACCATCCCTCCACCCTTCCAAGCAGGTTGTTCTTCTCCAAGGATCGGTCCTTCCTGGCCACCTGCCCAAAGTATGTGAGATAGAGCTTCAAAATTCTAGCCTCCAAGGAGAAACTTGGTTTCACCCTCTCCAAGACAGACCTATTTGTTTTCTTGATGGTCCATGGTATGTTCAAGACTCTTCTCCAAAACTACGGCTCAAAGGCATTGATTCTTCTCCTGTCAACCTTAGTCATTGTACAGCTCTCTGATGAATAGCATGCAATTGTGAAGGATCAGGCACACCTTATTATCTAGACTGACTAGCCAACAGAAATCAGAGGAGATTCTAAAAACCAGGGCAAGAAATCGTCATTACTATGTACACACAGTACCTGAAAGTGTCCCAAAAACTGAGGTGGTACAATAGTGATTAAATCTGTGGCCACTGGATGTGGATCTGGGTTTGGGCTGCAAAGAGTGACCTTTACTTAACCTCTCTAGGCCTCAAAATCTTTGCCTATGATGCTACCTATATCCTAGGATTAAATGAGATAAGATACACTGTGTGCTTAGCACAGAGCAAGCACTCAATAAATGTTATCTCTTTACACTCACATCTACTAATGTCCTTATTACTGATATTAATGCATTACTCAGATTGGCTTCCATTTTGTAAGTAGAAGATAGATAGAAGTGATAGATAGAAGTGATAGATAGTGATAGGTTATGATGTGACAGGTTGTTGTTATGTGCTGTTGAATTGGAACTAACTCATAGCTGACCCTCCAGTGAGTTTTCAGAGGCTGTAAGTAGCATGAGAAGAGACTGTTCCTTTTTCTTGCTTGTTATGTGTCAGAGAGTTGACTACGGAGGATAGAAGGAAAATTGATACCTTTGAGCTGTGATGCTGGAGAAGAGTATTGAGTGTACCATGGACTGCTAAGAAAACAAACAGATTCATCTTGGAGAGGGTTGAATCGGGCTGCTCCGTGGAGGCAAGGATTCTGAGGCTTCGTCTGACATACTTTGGACATGTTGTAAGGAGGGACAGGTCCTTGGAGAGGGACATCATGCTTGGGATGGTGGAGGGACAGCGCAGGAGGGGAAGGCCCTCTATGAGGTGGATTGATTCAGTGACTGGGTTAATCTGGATGGGTGTATCAGAGACAATGAGATTGGCACAGGACCGAGCAGAGTTTAGGGCTGTTGTACATGGGGTCGCAAGCAACTCAACGGCACATAACAACACCACCATCACAACTGGCTAGTGGATTTGACCTGCACGCCTTTTTTTTTAACTGCTCATCTTTGAGTTGCCAGTGGAACTTCTTACCACTGGGCAACCAGACTGACAAGAAAGGAGGAAAAACATCTATGCTTGGGGTCTACATGTCATACAGACAAACCTCCAGTAGCTGAGAAGCAACAGGAAGGCACTGAAGACAAAGGACATTCCCTCTGTACATTAATTCTGCAGGATATGTCAGCCTGTTCTGCCTTGCTCTGACTTTCCCAACAAGATCTTCCACAGTGGCTGTTCTATTGTTGACTTCAAAACCACCCCCCCCCCAAATAAAATACCAGCCCTACCTGGAGAAAAAAATTTAAGTTATACAAGTGTCCAGGTTTTTCAATCATAGGGTCACTATGAGTTGCCTACGACTTGATAGCACTTAATAACAACAACAACAATATAGAAAGCTATCAGTTGGCCTAGTGGACAGAAAGTGATGCTACCAAGCTAAAGGTAATCTGCGGCCCTCAGGCCTGCTTTTGATTGGTTTTGGTAAAATATTCTTCTAGGTCGTATAGCCCTGGTGTATCCACTTGTTGTACAGAGGTAACTTGTGGTTGCTGTGATGCTAAACACTGTGACACTGATGTGTCAAATGTGATAATGGTTACCCATGGTAGTCAGTATTTGGTGGAGTTCCCCGAGTAAAACAAGCTTGGAAGCAGAAGTGGCATCCACTTCCGAAATAGCTTGTCTCCGGAAACTCTATGAACCTCGAGAAAGGATAAAAGTTATAAAGTGTCCAGGTCTTTCATTCATAGGGTCGCTATGAGTCACCTATGACTCGATGGCACTTAACAACATGGTTTACTGTCACATTTTGGGAAGCCACTTAACCTCTCTGAATGTCTGTTTCCTCATCTTTAAAATGAAGCTAAAAACAATGCTTACCTTTTAGAGTTGTAAAGGTTAAAGTGACCTAAAGTGCTTAGAACAAGGTCCAGCACATGGCACTCGGTACCTGGTAATTGGTATTTTTCTTTTTTCTAAAAGGCATGAGAGTGAGCAGGAAGATTATTTCTGACATTTTATGCTAAAGGGGATGTTTAGGAAGAGTGGCTTGATTTCCATTAACCCTTCTATACTCTTCTGTGTCTTCCCTTTTATAAGTGGCATTTTGTTGATCATCCCCTTATTACATAAAACCTTTCCCTTCGCCTTTCTCAATATGCATCTATTATCTATTTATTACTATCCCTTGGACTGCCTAAACAGAAAGCATAAGCCTTGGAGAAGGTTGCATCCGGAATACTCCTTGGAGGCTAAGATGACAAAGCTTCACCTCACATCCTTTGGGCCTGTTAGGAGGGAATATTCTTCAGAATGGGACATTATGCTTAGCAAGGTGGAGGATTAGCAAATAAGAGATAGACCCTCAGTGGGATGGGTTGGCACAGTCACTGTGGCAATGGGTTCAAATGTGTCAGAAATGAGGAGGCTGGCACAGGATAGGACAGGTTTCAAATCTGTTGCTTATAGGGTCGCTATGTGTCGTACTCAGTAACTGTTTACAAATTTTTTTACTCCCCTCTCCTTCCCTCCCTATCTGTGGTAACGTTCATAATTTGAGGTAGAAAGTGGGGGGAAAGTGAGTATTGAAATTGATGTTACAGAACAAAATGTATAAGAATGGTTGAATCAGAAATTCATGAGAAAGATCCGGCAGGGACCTAAAAAGACAGGTAATGGTTGGTATAGTCCAAGGGTGATTAATTTTATAAAAGACAATGTATGGCAATGATTGTATGAAACATAATGTCAGTGAAGGAAAGTCTGGGGGGGAAATCTGCATAATAAAAAAATAAACTGGGCAGATGTGGGATGATTAAAAAAATTAATTTACTTTGTAACATTTCATTCACATCAATAAAAAAAGAAGAGGGGTCCTCAAAAAAAGTGAATTTAGGAATATATATTGCCAGGAATATATCCAAAGCAAATCAGAGCTGAGGCACAAATGGAGACATATATACCTATGTTCACTGATGCATTATTCATAATAGCAAGAAGATGGGAACATCCCAAATGCCCATCAACAAACAAATGGAGTGAGAAATTGTAGGATATTCACACAAAAAAGAGAGAGGGGGTTAAAACCACTAAAGAAGCAGAAAATAGTGGACAGATGGTGGGCGGTAGGAGCTGTGGGGCTTTATGAAACAAGGTGATAAAAGGCATTCATTCAATCATTGATTGATTGTATATACTATATATGAATGATGTTGTGAAAACCAATATGTTTTTTAAAATGGAAAGTGGATTATAAGTGCTATGCCTGAAAAATGTGGATATCCCAGTAATGACAAATTTAAGATCTTACTCAAGCTCTGTGGTGCTTCTAGCATGTCCCCTCCTTTCCTTTGTCTTTTTCCATGCGAAATACACAAAAGTGGTGATGATGGCAGCACCTATCAGGATACCCAGCAAGGATCCAACAATGATTCCAACTTCTTGATCTGGATAAAGAACACAAGCAGCGGGTTAGAAAAGTGGCCACACTGCCTGCCTCATACATATGCAAGGGATTATTTGGATCAGTCACAGTGGAGAAGTGACTTGAACTCAGCATGGGAGAAGAAAGATGGCAGGCTTTGTCATGTGATATTTACATATATATTGAGAGAGAGAAATAGATAGGTAGGTAGGTAGATTCTAACTGCAGGGAAATTGGTCACTTTTGCAAGGAGATCTCTGTGAGAAAGATAATTTGTAGTTGCAGTCTGACCACCAAAAAAATGACCTCTGATAATTTTTTGCAAAGAAAAAAACCAATCTGTTGTTGAGTCAATTCTGACTCATAGGGACCCTATAGGTTAGCAGTGAAGCACTTTCCTCTTGTACCAGCTGGGTTTCTTAACCTCCATTATAACCAGGGACATTTTGCCAAGCTTTTGCAGAGCATAGGTCAAATGGGTAGCTAAAAACCTGCCCTCTTTCCCCTCACCCTGAAATTCCGTGCTTGTGGAGTGCACCAAGCAGCTTGGTGCATTCTGACCCCTTGGGACTGACTCATAGCTGACTCTCCAGTGATCTTTCAGGGGCTGTAATTCACATAGGAGAAGATAGCTGGTAGATTTGAACCTCATACCTTTAGCTTCACAACTCATTACCAATGCCATGTTAAAAAAAATAAAAAGTATAATGGCATTTAGCCAAATAACTCCTTGGGGAGGGAGTAGTTGGCAAACAAACAGAAGAGGTGTGTTATTTTGATCTATAGAAAAGCCCTAATGGGACAACCCAGCTGAGTTCTAGACCATGAAGCACTCAGGTGCTGTCTCTAGGAGAATATTCATTGTCTGAGTTGCAAGTTGACCCATCTCCATCTACCTTCCCTCAAGCTGGGCAGACACCTTTTTTCTCACTTTAAAAAATGTTATCTTGGTTTGCATTCAATATTTGTATGCATTGTGCATCATTCATGTACACACTCTGTTTCACATATTTCTTCATTCACCTTGTGTTTCAAATGATCAGAGTCATTATGTTTTATAAAATTAATCACCATTGATGTTGTTGTTGTTGTTGTT